ACCCGGAAGCAAGCTGGTACCCAATGCAGCTCGCGGAGCACTGGTGTTACATGGGCCCTTCTTGGGGCTCTAAAAATAGCCCATGCAGCCGCATTCTGGACCAGCTGTAGCTTCCAGATACTCTTCAAGGGTAGCCCCATGTAGAGCGCATTGCAGTAGTCTATCTGCAATTTAAGTCTATTTACTTAAAGTCTGTGGTTAACTGCGTTGGGAGGAGAAAAAACCTTTCAGATTCATGGGCTCTTTTGCCTCAAAGATAAGATATTATATAATCAAATACGGGCCTGAGAATCTCTGCATGTCATGACACTAAATCTTTCCTTACATTCTGGACTAGCCCAGAATCATCTGCAGGAAGGATAAAAAAAGTCAAGATAATGGTCACTACCACTTGATTGAAGCCCTGTCCCTTTTTTATATGCATCACAGTATATATAAACTTTGACTACATGTTTGTGACCACCCTCTTGATTGTTTTACCCTCTCCCACAGTCATCCCCAACTCGGTCTTGTCATATTTTTTGTGTGTGTTGGTGTGTACCTTCAAGTTAGTTTTTGATTTCTGGTGACTTTCTGAACTAGTCCCTGCAGTTTTCTTGGCAAGGTTTTTCAGAAGTTGTTTGCCCTTGCCTTCTTCGTTCTAGGGCTGAGAGAGAGTGACTGGCCCAAGGTCACCCAGCTGGCTTTGTGCCTAAGGTGGGACTAAAACTCACAGTCCCCAGTTTCTATCCCAATGCCTTAACCACTACATCAAACTGGCTCTTGTCAACAGACAGATTGAAATAGCCACTTTAAGCCTTGGGTATCATCAAAGGACTGCAAACTGTAGATGGTAAAATGGCATTAAACAAGAATAAAAAGCAAGCTCATATAATAATGCAGTGTACAAGATAAAAAAACAACAAAATGTAAGACATATTAAATCTAATTACACAAAAAGGGAAAAAGAAATATATTTGTGAAAAATTGTTATTCAATTCATTAATAAAATCTTCTACCTTAACAGTACTTAAACACAGACAGGCAATTAAATGAGTACATCAAAAGACCCTAGCCAATAATTTTGCACTCCTACATTCATTTACTAATTTTAGATGCTACATGTGAAAAGAATACGATTATTTGAAACCAGAGCTATTTGGTCATAAGCAAAAGAGTACAAAGGGCAAAGAAGTAAACAATGTGTTAAGCTGTCTGTCACGCATACCTGCTCCAGTACTCAGTATTTCTTTCCTTTTTAGTATTTTTCCCTAATGTTTTAGAACTAAAATTCCCAGAATTCTTAGTATAGCCCTCGGCTAAAATTCTTTAATTTTGGACTTAACACAAGAACAACATGTTGATTTCAGTGGGATTTTCTGAGAAGATTTTCTGAAAGATTTCAGCAGAATATGCCATCCTTAAAGGCTGGAAACTGGATAAAATATGTCATCTCACTGGCTGAAAGCTATACCTGAAATATATGACCAGAGATAATAATAAGGGTCTTCAGTCTTGATGACTTTGGATGTAGAAAGAAGGAAAGGACAACTGCACTTTGCAGAATTGCAAGAAAGAAAAAGTACCTTTATGCTTAGCTTTCCAAAACTCTGCAAAGTTATGTGCTCTACTATTAGTTCAAAGTCTACAAAATCACCCTTCATTGGATTTTTGGCTTTTATAGATTTTCCAGTAAGTTATAACAGCAAGTACAAGAAAATTATTCTTTGTTCTTTCCACATCCACTTCATCACTGACATATGACTAGTTATGAAGCTCACTAAAATATTCAACTCACAGCTCTGATAGGATGTTGATACTCCTCTCTCCTCTCTTTCTAGATCTTAGGTGTCCCTGATGATGCCACTCCAGAAGAAATCACCAAAAGCTACCGGGAGCTGGTGAAGCTTTGGCATCCTGATCATAATCGGCATCAAGTAGCAGAAGCTGAAAGACGTTTTATTGAAGTGCAGGCTGCCTATGAGCTCCTCATGCAGACAAAGAAACCAAAATCTGCATGATTGTATTTTAGATGTCACAGAAATTCTGTTACCATCAAGCAGCTGGGGATCAAACCATTATTATTAAAGTAATGGTTCTCAAAATACATGGACCATGTTATAAGTGTGCTACTTTCTATGTATTTTAAATTTATTAGGTGAAGATTACAAGCACAACTGTTTTATCATCTTTCACTAAATGGTGGTGGTAGTTTCAGGACTCATGGTTTTTGGGACATTGGGGGGAGGGACTTCTTATTGGACTGCTTATTCTCTAGGCTTGTTTTTTTATGAGGAGATATTCACATTCCCTTTTCAGGTTGCCCATCTCCTGATACAAAAAGGGAATCAGTGCCATCAACCTTTGCTGGTTTCTGCTCCTGAAATATCTGTACTGTATTGAAAAAAATAGGTATTTTACAGTATTTATCAAATAAATCCTACTTTGTTAACAATGGGGAGATGAACCTAATCCTTTCAAACTTCAGGAAAAAAATAGGAATTACATGTTCTGACTAATGTTCTTTGTATTTTATTGCTGGTTTTATATTTTTGATTAACTTTAATTATAGTGATTGGTTATGACATTGTTTTAACTGTAGTTTTAAGCCATCCTGAAAACTTTTACAAGGAAAAAGATGGACATCCATTTCTTAAATTAAAAAAAATCAAGCAAGGGGTTAAACCAAGGTTACAGTTTAGTATCCAACCTCATGCTGTGCATACTTAGAAGTCCTATTGAATCCAGTATGTAACTACAATAATTACATCTTGGGTTTCCTTAAACTTGTTATATTCTCTCTAAACTGCTTGCTTCATTAATATTTTTTCCCATATCTCTTTTAAGAATTTTAATTGCCCCAATATTGTCTTTGATAGAGCAACAGCATTAAATCCTGTAAGGGTTTCTCTTTTCTCACAATAACATTTAATTATCCTCAACATGAGTAAACAGCAAACTATCATATGTTTTATTATGGCATAGCATTTGAAAAAGTACTTTCCCTCTACACTGCAATTTGTCTTGGTAACTTTTCTTGAGTGCTTGGATGATGATAGTTGGTAAAACACATATCTATAATGTATTTGTTATATTTTATTTATTATTTTATTAGCTATATTTTACTGGAAACATAGTATGGATTATTGCTTTGAAATGCCTACAAGCCCATCTAGGCCCAGCAGGTGACACTATTGAGCTACTAAAAAAACAAAGAATGAATGAATGAGATTTGATTAAAAAAAAAAATCAGGAAAAGAAAAATTATATTAAACAGAAAACTAGGGGCAAAACCAGGTGCCAGAAATGAATTCGTATTTTTTATAGCAATGTGCTCTCATTTAAGGGACATTCAGATTTTCAGTCCCGATCTAGTAGCTTGAGAGAAAATTACATTATATTTTAGAAGTAGCAGAACACCTTAAATACTGTGACTGGGAAGACGGTCTCAGGACAAATCCAGAAGTTATCTTGAGGTCTGAAGGCAAGTGGTGCTTTGCCTCAAAGATAAAGGGTTTGGGGAGACTTTAAATCAGACAAATTCAGTGTGAAGTTCATCATAGTACCATCGTGGAATCAAGCATTGTCCTAGGGGAGATTTGAAAATGTGCCATTACCCAACCATGGTACAAATCTGAGATTGATTTCATGCTACACTAACGGGATTTGGTTTTGTCTAAGTGAAAGATGGTTTTGAGCAATGTGTACATTCAGCCAACCATGGCCTAGTCATATGTGTGAACCCAGCACACTTGTACGTTTATTAAAAAGGATTAGCAAGAATTTTAAAGGGCCTACATTCAGACGAAACACTGAACCATACAACGTGGCTAGCGTAGGGTGCACCCATGAATTGATGTGCTGGATGAATTCAGAAATAGGGATAGAGAAACCGTAGGTAAGCTATCCATAGTTCGGTAGGTCATGCCATCCATGATGACGACTAGACTCCGCAGGGGCAGATGTTCTGAATCCCTCATATAAAACAGGGCAGACGAACAGCACAATGAATAACAAGGGTTTATACACACGGCACATCCGAAACTTAAAAAGTACAAGCGGCATGCAGGAATTGGGGCGGCCGCATCCTCCGCCTCCAGCAGGGCACTGGAGCCACTCAGAGAATCTAAGCAACTGCCGTCAAAGGCGCTTCCCTTGGCCGACCGTTGCCGGAAAGAACGCAGCTGTGCACACCTGGTTTCAGGATTCGCGGAACGAAAGGAAAGAACGGTGGCGATTAAAGAGGGCCGTTATTGGATAGCCAGAGCGCCTCGCGCCCCTCTGTATGCCTGGATTGGGTCTCCTTCCACGGCTTTGGCAATTGGTCTAGCGCCGTAACGATTCGGCCGAAACAACCTCTTTCGCGGTAGCTGATTGGGCTTTTCTAACGCCAAAGCCGATTGGGCAACGGGTGAAGTGCTTCGGTGGCTAGAGCGATTCTGTTGTCCTCGAGCCGAACTCAATTTTGGATCTCGGGGGGAGGGAAAGGGTGGGAGCGAACTCGCTTCTCCGTTGCTCCTATTGGCCGGCGCTCTGCCGAAGGGAATGACCTTTTTCATTGGCTGGAGGAAAGAGGACGCCTGTGTCCGGTTGGTTGTGGGGCTCGCGTAGCCTTCGACGATTTTATTCTCTCCGTCTCTCCCTTACGGGTGGGCGGGGCTCATTTTCCCCGGCGCTTGGTGGCGGCGGCCTGAGGTAAGGTGGGGAATTGTAGCGGCCGCGGTGTTGGGGTTCTCCGCCGAGGAGGGTAGGGCTGGGGCGCGGGGGAGGAGGGCGACCTGCGGGGAACGGGCGGCGGTG